GCCCAGTCATAAAACTTTGGGTAGGGGAGGAGGGAAGGAAGAAAGGATATCTATCAATCAATCAATCAGTCGATAAGCATTTATTAAGCACCTTGTATGTGCCAGGCACTATGCTAAGCACTGGAGACACAGGTACAGAGAGTGAAAAGATCCCTACTTGCAATGAGCTTATGTTCTAAGGGAAGAGACAATAAATACGCATAAAAATATATACAGCATGAATACTAAGTTAATAAATATATTACATATTACATTATTACACTATAATAATATTGATTTATAATTTATAATATTATACACTTAACTAATAAATCGTTAGATACAAGATAGTTTGGGAGGAAGGGCAGCAGCAGTTGGGGGAATCAGGAGTCTGCAATATTGGGTTTGAGCTGCATCTTAGAGGAGAACAGAGGTAAGGGAAGAAGTGCATTCCAGGGATGGGGGATGGCCGGTGCAAAGGCAGGGAAACGGGGTAGAGGATTGTGAAGGAGGGAGGGAAGGAGAGAAGGAGTGGGAGAGAGAGAAAGGAGAGAGACAGAGACAGAGAGAGATTCACTGCCTTGCAAAGTACGGGAGAGGGTGTAGTGTTTAATAAAGCTGAAGAAATAGGTTGGGACAAGATTATAAAGGGCTGTAAGAGCTAAACAAAGGAGTTTATGTTTTATTCTAGAGGCAATAAGAAGTCATTGGCGTTGGTTAAGTAGGGGACTCCCATGGTCAGATCACAGCTTAAGGAAAATTACCTCTGCAGCTGTGTGGTGGATGGACTAGAAGGGGAGAGACCCAGGCACAGACCAATGAGGAAGGAGGCTGTTGCAGTGATCTAGGAAGAGGTAATGAGGGCCTAAACTGAGGTGGAGAAAAGGGGTCTTTGAGAGAGGAGTTATAAAGGTAGAAATTGATTGGACTTGTGGTGTGAGGATTTCATGGATAGTGATGTCTTTGACAGGAATGGGGAAGTTTGGAAGAGGGAAGCATTTAGGAGGAAAAATAATGAGTTCAGTTTTGAAGATGTTGTGTGTAAGATATCCTTGGGACATCAGGTTTCAAATATCCAATAGCAATTGATAATTTGAGATTAGGGTTCAGGTGAGAGACTAAGCCTTGATATGTAGGTCTAGGAGTCATCTGCATAGAAATAATAGTTAAACTCTATCCAGGTCACAGTTCTTTGGAACTATGGTCTATGCATAATAATAATAATCACAATAATAATAACGGCAGCTAACATTTATCTACTATGTCCTAGGTACTGTGCTAAGTGCTTTATAATTATTATCTTATTTGATCCTCACAACAAGCCTGGGAGGTAGGTGCTAGACAAGAATTGGAAAGCCAAAACAAAATAGGTTTCCAAGCAGCGAAAAGTAATGTCATATATCTTAAAATCCCTGCATTGTAGTGATAGAGGAACACAGCTTCCTTCCCACCCCGCTCCCTTGGTTTAACACATTATCATTCAATAGTCAGTTTATTTAGACATTTGGGTTTAATGGCTGTCTTACCTGAAAAAAAAAACCCTCATAAAGATCTATCTACCTATCTATTATATATGTACATATATACACACATAGATATAAAGATATATAGATCCGAATTTATGATGTGCATTGTTGGCTGCACTTACAAAATAGTGATTCTCATTTATCCAAATAATTCTACCAAGCTCGGATAACTGTTTTTGAAGTGTACTGAAAGTTAAAAGCAATGAATTCTAAATTGTGAGTGGAGAGGACAGTTATAGGTAGATATACCAACACCAGTAGAAGCATGGGGGAAAACCCCCCAAGCAGATGTAATTCTGGCTTGGGGTGGTGGTGCAGAAAGAAGCAGGAGAAGAGGACTTGAGCCACATAAGAAAATCATGAAGATTTGTCTACGTGAAAAAAATCATGTAGATATCTAGGAAGAATCTTGTTTAGTGAAGCAGGTCAGAGATTAAATTTGGGGAGGAGAAAATTGTCAAAATTGAGGGAAATTTGAAGAAGGAGAATCTCTAGATGCAAATTATGGTCCAGAGTCTAAGAAAAATAAGATCAAGGACAATTAAAGAAGATATACAGGGATTAAAGAGTATAACAGAATTAGTGGGTAGGGGTTAGAACTCAAAGAGGTAGATTCAGGGTTAAGGAGAAAATAGTCGAAGAGACAAGGTAAGGTAAGTAAGAAAAGGTACATGGAACAAATAGAGAGTTAAGTAAATTGATAGATTGGATTAATGGTTGGAGCAAGTTGGTTGTTTAAAAGTTTTAGCTTTTAAAAATTAATAATTGGATGTTAAGTTTTACTTTTAAAATTAATAATTGGACGTAAAGTTTTACTTTTAAAAATTGATAATTGGATATAAAAAGTTTTACTTTTAAAAATTAATAATTGGATATAAAAAATTTCACTGAGGTACTTAGGGTTGGGGCATAAGCACCCACAAGTAGTTTCAAGGAACAAGGCTAAAATCTCAACCATTATGGATGGCAGCAGAAACTGTGCAGTGACCAGCATCAAGTTTGCCACTTTTGTATTTCTGCCACAGTTAAGTGACTATTATCTATGTTCTAAGTGTGGGCTGGTCTCCCTCCCAAAGGAAAAAGGGTGAAGAGACGAGGAACATCTCTCTGTACTCCATGTTGTTAGGGAGAACGAAGGGGCTTCTAAAGGAAACAAAAGGAAAGCTTCAATGGAGAAAAAAGGGTTTGAGGTGGAGGAGGGGGATAGAGAATGGAAGAGTGTTACACAGAGGAGAAAGAGAAGGAAAAGGACATATGCAATTAGAGCTTAAAAGAGACTGAAGTTGCAACCTGAAGAGGATGGAGCTGGATGCTCTGAGGAGGGAGACTACTTTTCTTCCCAGTAATAATAAGGTAGTACTACAGAAACTGTCAGGAATGAGATCATTCAGGCAGGGACAGAGGAAGAAGAGGAGAAGAATGGTTGGTGATACCCTGCTCAGGGGGAATTGTCGTGATTGAGATTTTAACAAAATGGTAAGCTGAGGCAGATCTCTGAGCAAGATAACATTTCTCAGCAGGGGCATGCTACCTATCAACAAATGGGTCAATGGCTCACCTCCATTAATGCCAAAGACCCTGAGCAAGAAGACAGTTCCCCTTTTACAGAGTTTGGGGAGTACAGAACAAAGAACAGAAGAAGGTGGATGACATCATGGAATCAAGGGCAACATGACTGGTTACCCCTAGCTGAGGTAAAGAAAACATGATAGGTTGAAGTTTGATAATGGAGCTAGCAATGACACCCCCCCCCTTTTATTTCATGAGACTAAGCAGTGCTCTTTGCTTGGGTGACAGTGTGAGATCATGGCCCCGACTTTTGGACAGCAAACCAGATGTCCTTGAAGGATAGCTTGGTAGGGTGAGATATCAAGCCCAACTCCCTTTCTGTTCACACATTTCCAAGGTTAGCAAAATTCCTTGCGGCAAGAAAGCTAGATTTAAAAATTTAACCCATTACAGGCCAACTGAACTCAACAAATAACCGTGACTTAAGTAATTACAGGACAAAATCAATTGATTGTAAATAGGATTAATAAGAAAATGATACAGGATCAATCATAGTCTTCTCAGTACCAAGACAGCTATTTGTCAACCTCAGAACAGCAATTGAGCAGTCTCTTGTCTTCCTGGTTCTTGCATCCAAGGCATAATCAATCAGTCAATCAATAAACATTTATTAAGTGTCTACTAAGTGTCAGGTACCGTGCTAAGCTCTGGGGATACAAAAAGAGGCAAAAGAGATAGTCCCTACTCTCAAGGAGCTTATAATTTATTGGGGGAGACAACATGCAAACAAATGCATAGAAGGTAAGCTATACACAAGGTCAATAGAAAATAATTAACAGAGAGAAGGACTGGAATTGAGAGGTTGGGGAAGACTTCCTGTAGAAGGTGGAATTTTAGTTGGGACTTAAAGGAAGCCAGGGAGGTCAGTAGTGAGAGCAGAGGTGGGAGACTGTTCTAGGCATGGGGGATATGACCAGAGAAAATGTTCAGATCTGAGAGTTTGAATGTCTTGTTTGTTGGACAAGAAGGAGGCCATTATCACTGCATCAAAGAGTATGTTTTGGGCAGGAAGACGTAAGAAGACTGGAAAGGTAGGAGGGGGCTAGATCATGAAGGGCTTTGAATGCCAAACAGAACATATTATATTTGCTCCAGAAGCCAATAGGAAACCACTAGTTTACTCTGTGTGTGTGTGTGTGTGTGTGTGTGTGTGAGAGAGAGAGAGAGAGTGGGAGAGAGAGAAAGAGAGACAGACAGACAGACATTATCAGGCCTGTGTTTTAGGAGAACCACTTTAGTGGCTGAATGGAGGATGGATTGGAGTGGGGACAGACTTGAGTCAGGAAGACTCACCAGTGGGCTATTATGATTGTTCAGCTGTGAGGTGATGAGGGTCTGTACTAGGGTGCTGGCAGTGTCAAGAAGAGAGAAGGGGGCATATTACAGAGATGCTGCAAAGGTGAAGTCAAAGGACTTGGCAACAGATTGGGTATGGGGGAATGACAGGTAGCGAGGAATCCAGGATGCAAGGTGAGGAATCTAGTTTGTAAACCTGAGAGACTGGGAAGATGGTATTGCCCTCTCCGGTAATAGAGAAAGTAAGAGGTGGGGAGGACTTAGGGGGAAATATAATGAGTTTGCTTTTGGACATATTGAGTTTCAGATGTCTACTGGACATCCAGTTTGGGATGTCTGAAAGGCAATAGGAGGTGTGAGAATGGAGGTCAGTGGGAAGAATGGGGCAGGAAAGGTGGATTTGAGAATCATCCACATAGAGATGGTAATGAAATCCATGGGAGTTGATGATATCAACAAGTGAAGAAGTATTAGAGGGAGAAGAGAACAGGGCCCAGGACAGAATCCTGAGCAACACCTACAGTTAGAGGGCACAATCTTGATGAGGACTCAGCAAAGGAGACAGAGCCAGATCGGAAGGAGGAGAACCAGGGGAGAGTGATGTCCTGAAAACCTAGAGAGAAGAGAGTATCAAGGAGGAGAGAGTGAGCAACAGTGTCAAAGGCCGCAGAGAGACCAAGGAGACTGAAGATTGAGAAAAGGCCATTGAATTTGGCAACTAAGGGGTCATTAGTAACTTTGGAGAGAGCAGTTTTATAACAAAGAATCTCCTGAGACTTACCAAAAAAAGGATGAAAACTATTTACTCCTGAGGGTTCCCTTGGGTGCAAATGGACTTTCAGAAAGAACCTAAAAGGCTGTGCTGTTACTTGTGAACTGTGAGACAGGAAACTGAAACCATAAGGACACAAGCTGTGTTTTATTCACTGTTGCCCATTGAAGGCAAAGGATACAGAAGAGTAAAATTAAACTGGGAAGTGAAGAACTGGCCTAGGTGTCTAAAAATGGGATTTGGATTTTGGCATACAGTAGAGTGTTGGCAGACTCCTGACCACACCTAACAAAAGGTTGGTTTGTCAGGTGTCTTAAAGGTCTAATGAAAAAGGCTTGACAATAAAAGGGATGGAATAAAGAGAAGACTGCCTATGTATATCACCCAAATTAAACAAATAGATGGTTAGTTGTCCTATGTAATCAAAGAGGATCAAAATGACATCACTATGTTGGGGTTAATATACTGTGTCTGACTGTAGTGATCATTCCAATACGAGCTCAGAAGGCTCATGCCACAGGTTAGGCACAAAAAATTCGTATGGACATTTGGAATAGAGATGTCTCTAAATTTGCACATCTCATGTTTCTTTCGAACTACGGAAATTCTGGCTTTGCTCATAGAGCACAGAGCTTTCTTTGATGAGGACTTTTTGTGCTGAGTGGCCCTGTGCCAGTGCCTCCCATGTTTCACAATTGATTCCAAAGTTCTTCAGAGACAGCTTGAAAGTGTCCTTGTATCACTTTTTCTGATCCCCATGTGAGCACTTACCTTGTGTGAGTTCTCCATAAAATAGTCTTTTAGGCAAACATGCATTTGGCATTCCAACAACACGGCCAGCCTATCAGAACTGTGCTCTCTGCAGTAAAATTTGAACACTTGGAAGTTTAGCTCAAGAAAGGACCTCAGTGTTCAGTACCTTATTTCACCAGGTGATCTTAGCTCAAGAAAGGACCTCAGTGTTCAGTACCTTATTTCACCAGGTGATCTTCAGAATCTTACTAAGACAATTCAGATGGAAGCAATTTACTTTCCTGGCATGGCGCTAGTAGACTGTCCGGATTTCACAGCATACAATAATGAGGTCAGCACAATGGCTTTGTAGACCTTCAGTTTGGTAGGCAGTCTAATACTTCTCTCTCACTCTTTCCTTTAGAGCCTCCCAAACACTAAGCTAGCTCTGGAAATGTGTGTATAAACTTCATCATTTATGTGTACATCCCTGGAAAGTTTTCTGCCAAGGTAAGTGAACTTATCCATGGCATTCACAATTTCTCCATGTTTTAATCACTGATGGTTCCATGTATGGATGATGTGGTGCTAACTGGTGGAGAACCTTTACTTTCCTGGTGTTGTCCAAACAAAATTAGCACAAGCAGCAGAGAATGTATCTGTACTTTGTTGCATCTCAGCTTCAGAGGCTGCATTGAGTGTACAAAAAAAAATTTGTAAACAAAAGTCATGTAACAAGTCTCCCTTCACTTTAGTCTTGGCTTTTAGCTTTTTTTTTTTTTGGTGAGACAATTGGGGGTAAGTGACTTGCCCAGAGTCACACAGCTAGTGAGTGTTATGTGTCTGAGGTCACATTTGAACTCAGGTCCTCCTGACTTCAGGGCCGGTGCTCTATCCACTGCGCCACCTAGCTGCCCCAGCTTTTAGCTTTTTCAAGTTCAAAAATTTACTATTGGTTCTATAGCTGACCTTGATAACTTTTTTTTGTCTTCATTGAACGTGTCTGACAACATCACTGAAGATATTATGCTAAAAAAAGTGTGGGAGCAGTGGCCCTGGAGTCAGGAGGACCTGAGTTCAAAGCTGGCCTCAGACACATAACACTCACTAACTGTGTGACTCTGGGCAAGTCACTTAACCCCAATTGCCTCACCAAAAAAAAAAAATTCTGTTTAAAAAAAACAAAGCATGGGAACAAACACGTAAACCTGCTTCACTCCATGGGTGACTTCAAAAGTACAGGAACATCTTCATAATCCAGAACCCAGGCAAGCATGCTATCGAGGAACTAAAAATTATAGATAGAGAAGAACCCACCCCCCTCCAAAGGAAAGAAAAGGAATAACGGTGGGGACACCTAGACATTCATAGAAGACAAAATCCAAGAAATGAACCAGCATTAAAACCCATGGGCCTCAAGTGTCTATACACAAAGTACCAAAGTGAAGGTAACAAACAAGATGTACTTGAAATCCTCACACAAAGGGGCAAATTTGACTTCATAGGAATTACTGTTACTTGGTGGGTTGGTCTATGACTGGACCATGGCTCTGGTTAGGTATGCTTTTACAGAAGAAATAGGATACGTAAATGGAAATGGGGTGTAGAGTAGCATTGTCTATTAAGTAGGTACACATGTGAGGAAATCCAAGAACCAGAGGGAGGAGGTGAGATGGAGAGTATTTGGGTGAAAGTCAAAAGGTATTTTTGAAAGAGAAGGGCTTTTGTAATCAGAGAATGCTACAGATCACTTGGAAAGGAAGAAGAAATAGATAAGAAGTTTGGGAAATAGATGAAAATCCAGCACAGAGGTATCATATAGTTGAGATGGGGAACTTCAATTGTCCAAGCTGTCTCTGCCAAAAGCAGAGCATCTAATAACTTCTTGAATTGTCATAATGATAGTTTCCTCCTTCAAAAAGTACAAGAACCAATAATGGGAAATTGTGTTCTTAATCTGATTCTCACTAATAAGAAAGAATTGGTTGCTGAGATATGAATGATGGGAGTCCTGGGGGAAAGTGATCACTCCTTCCTAGAATTTGTAATCGAGGGAAGGAAATCTGAGCATAAGGTAGAAAGCACCATAGGCTTTGGGAAAGCAGATTTCAAAAGGTTCAGAGGAAAGACAGGTAGGACCTCACAGAGTAGGGAAAATCAACCCAGGAAGGATGGAAGAGGCTGAAGAATGAAATTAGGAAGACACAAAGGAAACTATTTCAATGAAAAGGGGGAAAAATGGGATTTGTCTAGAGACAGATGTTGATGCATGGGGAACTCACTAACTAACTGAGATTTTTAAAAGAAGTCTACAAAAAATAAAGGCTAGGTAAAGAGGAGGTGAATGTGAGAGCACAGCATGATTCTATAAAAATAATGTGAGAGGTTTATATTTGATCCTGGAAGCAGTATGGAGCCTTTATTGAGTTTCTTGAGTTGAGGGACCAGGGTCAGACCTGCACTTCAGGAAAATTCACTTTGGTAGCCAAATGGAGGATGGATTGGAGTGAGGAGAGTCTTGAGGAAGGAAGAACAACTGTTCTAAAACTCAGAATGAGCTGAGGCTGATGGTGGAAGTTAAGGGCAGCAAAAGGTGTTTGTTGGTTGGTTAGTTTTTAAAGCTATACTGGAAGGTTAAAGACAGCATGGGACCCTTGCTTGGGGCAGATCGAATGATGACAATTGACAATGGAGAGAAGACAGAGTTTCTCGATTCTTATGTTTTTATCTTCGTACAAAGGAAACCAACCTTTAAACTGGAAATGACAAAACAAAAATGACTAACAGGGAGTTTAGAGCCAAGAGAAGTAATGAGATAGGAAGAGAGCATCTAGCTGCCCTGATGAATTCAAGTCATCTGGCCGAGATCATGAAAGAACTGGGAGTTGTCATTGATGAGTCACCATTAGTCAGTCAGTCCGTCGGTCAACAAGCGTTTATTAAACCCTCAGTAAGAGTCAGGCACCAACTAAGCAGTGCTAGGAATACAAAGAAAGGCAAAAATACAGTTTCTTTCCTCAAAGAGCTCTGACTCTACTGGAGGAGACGACATGCAAATAACTATGTACAAGCTAACCATGAGCAGTGTAAATGGATGGTAACGTCCAAGGAAAAGGACCAGAGAGAAGGGAGGGTGTAAAGACTTACTGCTGAAGGTGGAATTAGCGTTCAATCCTGAAGGAAGCTTAGAGGCTGCGAGAAGAGACAAAGGGCATGAGGGACAGCTGGGGCAAACGAATGGAGTCAGGAGATGGAGTGTCCTTGGCGAGGAACAAGTAGGTCAGTGTAGCTGGATTGTTGAGTGGGTAGAGAGCAGGGAAGGTAAGAAATCTGGAAAGGTAGCAAGGGGCCAGGTTGTAGAAGGCTTTGAATGCTAAACTAAGAATTGTATACTTGATCTTGGAGTGACTGGAGGTTATTGAGCTGTGGGGCTGGGGTGGGACGTGACCTGTGTTTTAGGTAAGTTCACCTTGGCAGCTGAGTGGAGGATTGATTGGGGTGGGGAGAATCTTGAGGTAGGAAGAACAATTGGAAGTCTATTGCAATAGATGAGCCAAGAGATGATGAAGGTCTATATTAGGGTGGAGGCTCTGTAAGTGGAGAAGAGACTTAGATGAGAGATAATAATAATAATGATAGTAACAATAATAATAGCTAACATTTATCTAGTACTTAACTAGGTGCCAGGCACTACGCTAAACACTTTATAATCATTCTCTTTTAGTCATCACAACAACCTTGGGAGGTAGGTACTATTACTATTCCCATTTTACAGATGTGGAAACTGAGGCAAATAGAGGTTAAACGACTTGCCCAGGAGGCCACATCTGAACTCAGATCTTTTTTACTTCAGGCTTAACACTGTATCCGCTGTAACACCTGAAGGTAAAAAATAACAAGATTTAACGTCAAATTGGATACTTGAGATGAATGTGGGTGAGGAGACAATTATGACACCAATCTTGGGAGAGTGGAAGGATGGTAGTACCCTCAATGGTAATAGGAAGAAGGGAAGGTTTGGCTAAAGATCATGGAAAATGGAAGAGGTACCATGAGATTACAGAAGGGCAATTATTGACCTGATTCTTTAAAAAAAGAAAGAAAAATTAAAAAAACAGAATTTGTAAACTATAGGTCAATGGACTTGACTTTGATTCCTGGCAAAATCCTAGAATGGATCATTAAAGGGATGGTTGTCAACATCTAGAAAGGGAAACAGAGATTGCCAAGAGCCAGCATGGCTCATCAAGAACAGATCATAAAAAAACCAACCATAAATCCTTGTTTGATAGGTTTACTAGAGTAGACAGATTTATTACACTGTGGATTTAGTTTACATAGATTTTAGCAAAGCTTTTGATAAAGTATCTCATTATTCTTGTGGAGAACATAGAGAGGCATGGATTAGGCAATGATACAATCAGAGGGATTCAGAACTGGTTGGATGGCCAGGCTCAGGGAGTCATTGTTAATGGTTCAATGTTAGTGTGGCAAGAGATCTCCAATGGAGTGCCCCAGGAATGTGTGTTTAGCTTGTTCTGTTTACCATTTTAATCTTGGATAAAGGGAAAGATCTTCTGTTTATCAGGTTTGCAGATGACACCAAGCTGGGAGGGAGAGCTAACAGTGGAAGACAGAGAAGAGATCCAAAAGGGTATCAATGGGCTGGAACATTGGGTTGAATTTAATAAGACAAAAATCAATTTGTGATAAATGCAATGACTCATAAAGTAAAGTAATGTATAAGACAGGGGAAGCATGGATAGACAGAAATTAGTCTGAAGAAGAATTTGTGGCTTTTAGTGGACTCCAAGATTGATATGAGTAAGCAATGTGTCAGTCAGGCAATAAGCATTTATTAAGCACCTACTGTATGCCTGGCACTCTGCTAAGCCCTGGGCATATAAAGAAAGGCAAAAGACAGTCCCTATTCTCAAGGAACTCAGAGTCTAATGGCCATAAAACCTAATGCAGTGTTGGGCTTTGTTGATAGTGACAGCTTCTAGGAATTGGGAGGTGAGAAACTCACTGCACCATCCTCTTGTGAGATCTCATGTGAAATGTTGCATTCATGGTTTGAGAAGGACATTGATTAAAAACAAAAGGATATTGATAAACTGGAAAATGACCAGAGAAGGTCCTTGGGTCCATATCATATGAGGATTGGCTGGAGAAACTGGATATTTAGGTTGGAAAAGACTCAAATATTTCAAGTATTTGAAATGTATATCACATGATGGAGGGATCTGATTTGTTCTGTTTGGTCCCAGAGCAAAAGGCAACGGGTGGAAATTAGAAAGAGGGAAATTTAGTCTCAAGGTCAAGAAAAAATTTTCAACAATTATTGCTGTCTCAAAGTGGAATGCGCTGCCTCTCAGGAGGTGGTGAGTTCTTTCTCAGAGGTCCTCAAGTAGAGGTTAGATGACCATTTGTAGAGTATGTTAGTGGGGTCAAACTCAAATAGAAATGGATTTGTTTGGGGCATATTGACCAGAAAACCACAAATAACATTATCTATGTTGTTTATTTATTTTGTTAAACATTTCTCGATTACATTTCAATCTGGTTCTATGACTCTTGGGAGTTTGGCTGGCTATAATACCAGCTGCTGCTTTGAATTTGACCCCTTTGAAGTATGTTATAATAGGGAGTCCTTTTTGCGTATGGGTTGGACTAGAAGGCCAGTGAGGTCCCTTCTGACTCTCAGATTCTGTGATTCAATCATTCCCAAACACTCTCGTTTGTGGTCATTTGGTCCCACTTGTCTCATCAGCCCTGAAGGGTACCCAGGGAATATTACAAGACAAATAAGTTCGGTGAGAAGGCCTCAAAACACTAAGAAAAGCTGAAATTGTTCTGGCTCAGAGATGGTTTTTAACCTATGAACTTAAGGCAGGAGAGAGGGTGACAAATGGAAACTGAGACTGGAAAAGTCCCAGAACCATTGCTGATGTGATCTTTCTTCTTTCTGAGCCCTGAGATGGAATTCAGGAGAACAAGGGTCTCCAGCCCGTTCTCTGACTTAACTCCTTACATGATCTTGAGGAAGTCATTTTCTCCTTCTGGTCCTCAGTTTTCCCAACATGAAAGGTTTCTTAGTTCCCTTCCAGCTCTGCCATTCCATATTCTAGTCTTAAGATCTTTTCTAGCTTCAACATCATATGCACTAAAGGCCCTTCTAGACCTGATGTTCTGAGTCTCTGATAAGGGGCAGTGGCATTGTATTCCAGAAAGGAGGAGTTTCCTGGGATGGTCTGGGTTCAGTTAACACAGGGGTTTACAGCAGGTGGCGGTCTTCAGGACTTACTAGCTTTGCTTAAGCTGCTGTGGAGTCTGGGCAGCTTGAAACTGTCCAGGAGTTTGGGAGATGGGAACACAGCCAAGTCTTGGGTATCTGTGTACAGATAAATGAAATCCACAGATCATCCCTAAAGCTATTACTTGGAGCCTCCCTTCCATCCCTGTATAAGCTGCAGAATTGCCAGTTTGCCTCTTCTCTTCCTCCTCTTCTCCTTCCCTTCCCTCTGCCCTCTCCTCTCCTCTCTTTCCCCATACCCCTTCTCTTTTCCTTTCCTTCCCTTAGCAAGGACCATAAAAATGGGTCACAGAAGGGAGTATTTCCTGAGCTCACCATGCAGAACTGGCAGAGGGTTTGAGCTTCCTCCACCCAGCCCTGGGAAAGTGCTAATAAAGCCCCAGGTTAATCTCTGAGGCATAGGTCCATGCCCATGCCCAACATGTCCTGTTGACATCACTTGTGTCAGGAAGGGTTGACCCGCAGACCGTATCACCAGCTCAGAAACTTGTAGCTGTTATTTACAAGGGTATGTATGGGGCAGCTGTCGCCCCAATGCATTGTGTACTGTGGCACTGGTGACCTTGATCATATTCAGCTCCTCAGAGGAAGGGTAGACATCCTTTGCACCTCTTCACCAAGAGGGAGCTTCCTGTCTCTCGGTGTCTTCTAAAGCTGACCGCCTCTTCTCAGAAACATGATTCTGAAAGCTGTGCCTACTGATATTTCCACTTTTCCATCTATCATATATATCATCTATTTATATGTGATCCATTTCCCAATTATCTGGAAAAAAGGCTGCACAGGAAGCCTCCAGACCCAGGTAGAATCCTTATCCAAAGAGTTCTCCTGGAAGCTTTCCCAAGGCAGAATCCTGACTAGATTTCACAACTTTATCCCCCACCTGTGGTTTGGAGAGTGAATCCCTGGACAAAAGCTTTGAGGATTAGCCAGAAAATAAAAGACTCAGGAAAGAGCTGCTTGCACACAACACTCTGGGCCTTCTTTTTAGTCCCATTTAAGGGAATAGTGTTTCATTTGAGTTTTGAGTCTGAGGCAGGAAAGCTGGGGATGGAGATGGGGTGGAGGGGGGTAGACTGCCCACATTTTCAAACTTTTGAGATGGGGAGACTTGGTACCCAGATTCCTGGGTTACATTCCTACTTTGTCCCTGTGATAACAATTTACATTTCTATAGCATTGTTAATGTTTATAAAAATACTTCCCTCCAATGGAGAGAATGGTGATTCAATTCACCCTCTGTGGCTGTTCAGGCCTGTGATTTCATGGGCACAGAGAACTCCCAGTGAAGTTATACCTTCTCTTAATGCAGCCCAGCAACTGTTCTACTGTTTTTAGTCTCAGAGAGTTCCTGGTGGTCCTAAGGGGTTCGGTGGCTTGCCCAGAGTCTCACAGCTGGTGTGTGTCATATGCGGCTTCTGGACTGCAGGTGTTCCTGACTCTGAAGCAGGTTTTCTTCTACTATACCAGGCTCCCTTTCACAAGCACTAAGCGTAAGACATTTTGCCAAGCCCTGGGGGTACAAACAATCCCTGCTCTTAATCACTTTTATATAGTGCCTTAGGGTTTGCAAAGCACTTTATAAATATCTCATTTTATCCTCACAACAATCCTGGGTGGTAAATGCTATCATCATCTCCATGTTACAGTTGAGGGAACTGAGGCAGATGCTGGTTAAGTGACTTGCCCAGGATCACACAGCTAGTATCTGAGGCAGGATTTTAACTCCCATCTTCTTGACTCTAGGCCAGGCTTTCTTTCCACTTCACCATCTATCTACCAGACTGCCTCAGAAGGTTCCATTCCATTGAGGAGATACAACATGTACAGATATACATGAATCATATGTAAAATGTTTTTTAAGAAGGAAAGAAATCTAATGCCAGGAAAGGCCTCATGGAGGATGTGGAACCTGAGTGGTGGAAAGAGTATTGGATTTGAAGCCAGAGCACCTGTGTTTGATTTAGTTTTACCGATGAAGGGGAAGTGACTTGCAAGAGACAGGACCTGAACCCGGGTATTCTGACTCCAAGTATAACAGTCTTTTCTTACTTTCTTTTTGGAGGCAATTGTGATTAAGTGTCTTGCCCAAGGTCACACAGCCTAGTACATGTCTGAGGCTGGATTTGAACTCAGGTCCTCCTGACTCCAGGGCCAGTGCTCTATCCACTGTGATACATAGCTGCCCCTCTAGTAGTCTCTTCTAGATACCTTCTTGCCACGCATTCTTCCTTGGCCTTGTTTCTGTATCTTGAAAGTGGGTAAGAATTGAGATTTGTGGGAAATGGTATCATGTGCAAATGAAAGAAGGAGTGACTAGCCCTCTAAGTGAAGGCTGCTCAGACACAGCATTCTCCCTTCCCCAGCCCTAGCTGGTATCATCAAGTTTTCCATGATGAAAGCCCTAAAGAAATCATGTTTTCCTCAGCCACACAGACAGCCAGACCCCAGGGCCTGCCTACAAGCCCTGCAGGAAGGACTAAGAAGCCCTCAGCAAACATGAAATACCATGGAAACGCCAGAGCAACAGCTTCAGAGGTGATCTGGGCCCCAGGAAGAGACACACAGTCACCCCCTTCCAAGTGGGGGCAGGTGATTATCCTGTGCTAAGGAATTTTAGGTTCTTCAATCAGGGGCTTGGAGACAATGGGGAGTGAGAGCTGGGCGGAGGACCTGATAGACAGACAATGAGGAAAGAGACCTTGAGAGGAAGACCCAGGCAGTGAGAGACACTCAGAGACAAACACCCTGAGAGACAGAGATGCCAAGGGGGAGACTGAGAGACAGAGACCCTGAGAGGAAGACCCAGGCAGTGAGAGACACTGAGACAGAGACCCTGAGAGACAGAGATGCCAAGGGGGAGATTGAGAGACAGAGACCCTGAGAGACAGAGATGCCAAGAGGGAGACTGAGAGACAGAGACCCTGAGAGGAAGACCCAGATAGTGAGAGACACTCAGAGACAAACACCCTGAGAGACAGAGATGCCAAGGGGGAGACTGAGAGACAGAGACCCTGAGAGGAAGACCCAGGCAGTGAGAGACACTGAGACAGAGGCCCTGAGAGACAGAGATGCCAAGGGGGAGACTGAGAGACAGAGACCCTGAGAGGAAGACCCAGGCAGTGAGAGACACTGAGACAGAGGCCCTGAGAGACAGAGATGCCAAAGACTGAGAGACAGAGACTGAGAGACAGAGATGCCAAGAGGGAGACTGAGAGACAGAGACCCTGAGAGGAAGACCCAGGTAGTGAGAGACACTCAGAGACAAACACCCTGAGAGACAGAGATGCCAAGGGGGAGACTGAGAGACAGAGACCCTGAGAGGCAGACCCAAGTAGTGAGAGACAAAAACCATGAGAAGCAGAGACACAAACATGATGAGACAATGATGGGGGATAATAAGAGGGAGACTCAGAGGTACAGACAATAAGAAACTGAGTCCCCAACAGAAACAGAGGCATCGAAAGACAGAGAGAGACAGCAACCTGGAGAGACATAGAGAATGAGAGACAAATCCGATGCAACCCCAGCCAGAAAGCCTGTATTAACGGCTCACTACACGCAAGATGCTAGGCAGGGTCATGGGGATGCAAAGACCTAATGGAGGAAAGGATCTGCCCTCTGAGAAGCTTGCATTTCTTCTGGGCTTGGGGGTGAGAGTGGGCCTGTAGTATATACATGATAATTTGAGGAGGGAGTGAAGATGAACAACCCGAAGGGGGGATCAAGAAAGGTTTTCTGTGTAGGAGAGGACTTGAAGGAAGCGAAGGATTCTGAGGCGGGGGTGAAGAAAGAGGAGGCAGAGACGCTGGGGAGGCAGACCCAGAGAGAAAGCAAGAACATTTGAAAGTTTCATTTGCCTCAGTTGGTTTGGTAATCAGCAGTTATCACCCAAAATAAATTTTCCAAACCCTCTCTCTCTCAGCTGCCTCGATGCAAGATGTTACACGTGATTGGGGTTTTTGGGTGGAAGGGGGTGGGGGGAGAGGGGCCTTCCATGGAGACAGGCAATGTGTGACTCATTATTTCCTCTCCCTGTTGCAGATGAGAAGAGCCAAGGTTGCCAGGACTGAAAAGCCCAGGAGGAGAGGAGACTACTAAATAAGAACTGGGCACAGAGCTGGGGCAGCTGGGTCTGCAGCGCCTGGCCCTTTGTAGTTCCTGGGGAAAGCACTTTCTTCAGATACTCTTCCAAAGCCAGGTCTCCTGCTCCCCCCGCCTTCCCCTTGCATTTGGAGCCAGAGCTGCTGCTGAGCATCTGAAGCCCCCAAAACAAAATTAGCCTTCCTCAGTCCCTGGCAGAGAGGGATTGCCTAACACCAGGAAAGGAAAAGAAAGATCCCTGCCTCTTGGCTGGCTACCTGGTCTTGGCTGAGGCTCCCTCTCCATGCTCTGTATCCCACCTAGAGGCTCAGGAAGCTGCTGGGTTGGGCTGGGGTGGGGTTGGCAGGTCCTCCAAAAGCAGTGCAGCCAAGAAAGGGCAAAGCCAGGAGGTAGCTAAGAGAAGAAAAAAAAAAGGGATGGCTATCTCAGGCCTCAAACACACACCCCTCCCTAATTACCCAGAGAAGAAACTAAGAGAAAATCAGGGTATTTCAGGCAAAGACAAAAGAATAAAAATAAACATTTCCATTTAACAGTTTACAAAGTGCTTTCCGCACCACAGCCTTGAGAGGCAGGACAAGGATTATTATCCCTATTTTTAATCACAGAATGTCAGTGCTGGGAGGGACCTTCGAACACAGAATGTGAGAGATGGGAGGGATCTTAGCTCATAGAAGGTCTGAGCTGAAAGGGTTCTTGAAACATAGAATGTCAGAGATGGAAGGGAGCTTAGAATACAGTATTTCTGAACTGGGAGGGCTTTCCAAACAAAGAATGTCAGAGCTGGGAGAGCCCTAAGAACACAGAAGTCAGAGACGGAAGGGGCCTTAGAACACAGTATGTCAGAGCTTGAAGGGAGCTTTAGAACACAGAATGTCAGAGATGGAGGGGGCCTTAGAACCTAGTATGTGAGAGCTGGGAGGGAGCCTTAGAATACAGAATGTAGAGATGGAGGTGGCCTTAGAAACCTAATATGTCAGAGCTGGAAGGGAGCTTTAGAACACAGAACGTCAGAAATGGAGGGGGCCTTAGAACCTAGTATGTGAGAGCTGGGAGGGAGCCTTAGACACAGAATGTAGAGATGGAAGGGCCCTTAAACCACAGAATGTCCGAGATGGGAGGTGCCTTAGAGCACAGAATGTCCAAGATGAAAGAGCTCTTAGAATGCTAGAGCAGAGAGAGAGGTCTTAGAACAGCTTGAAGGGCACTTAGAAATCATACGGTGCGGAATGGCGATGTGACTGGCCCGAGGTCACCTACGGGAAGATTATTTCGAATTTCCTTGGTCCCACCAAATACTCGCTGTCACTAGACCCTTTGGGATCTCTCTATGTCTGCTCAGGGCTGGGACGAGAGCTGGCTTCTTCCTCTTCTCTCCGTGGAGGGCACTGCTGGGCAGCAGTTTGGAAGCGGGGCGCCTCTGGTCCCAGACTTGGCCACTGAGGTCCTGGTTTCTTCCCCTGTGAAATGGGGACAGGGACGGCCCTCTTTCCTTCCTCTTCTTCAATTTGGGCCCAGGGACTCAGACGCTACCGAATGCCCAGCGCCAGAAAGGGAAGCAAAGGGCGTGGCCCCGGCGCGGAGGCGGGGCCCTGGGGTGGGGGTGGGGGGTAGGAGGTGGGGGGATAGGGTGGGAGCAGGGCCGGGGGCGGAAGTCCCCCAGCTGGACTGGGATCGCTCCCTTATCTCGGGTAGCCCCGGGCTGGCGCGCGTGGCCATGGGGATCATATTGTGGGGTCTGCGTGTGCTGCTGGGGATCTTCTTCATGCTCACGGGGGTGATCAAGATCTCGGGGCATCACGTCCCGGCCCACGTGTACGCGCAGATGGTGAGCGGCGGGCGGAGGCCGGGGGCGGCTGCAGAAGGGCGGGGGCGGTGCGCGCGCGCGTGCCCACCGAGCGCTGGGTTTTGGCTTAGCTGCGCTATGCCGCGCCCCGGGGAACGGTTGGGGGTCTCCAGGCAGGAGACGGGCTCCTCCGCATCCCCTTACTCTATTGCAGAGAGGCATCCTTGGCTACCTTGGCAGCCCTCCGAGCCTGTGCCCGCGTGGAAGCTTTAGCTATTACGGGATCTGCCAATTTCAGTGGGCGAAAATAACCCAGGTCTGGGTGTGATGACCGAGAGGGGAGAGAAAGGAGTCAGATGATGGGGTAGACGAGGCCAGGGCCACTGTCGCTCCTTCCAGGTGGTAGGTGGAGCTGTGCTTCCAGAGACCGAAGGGTGCCTGGGCAATTCAAATTACTTGGATCTTTGCCTGCGGACACTCAAAGAGAGGAGGAATTATAGGATCATAGATTGGGAGTTGGAAGGGATCTCAGAGAGCATTCCCCCTCTCCTCCTTTTACAGATGAGAAAACAGAAGCTCAGTGACATCCCACCTGAGGTCACAATGGAGCCAGGATTTTTTAACTCAGGTCCGATTACTTGGAGTGAATGTTTTGTACCTTTGCAAGCCCACAGAGCCCAAGACTGTCAGAAGCAGAAGAAATTCTAGAGTTAGTGAGTCCAATCTAGGTGGCACGGTGGATAAAGCAGTGGGCTTGGAGTCAGGAAGATTTGAGTTCAAGTGTGGTCTCCAGCGCTAGCCGTGTGACCCTGGACAAGTGTCTTTGCCTTAGTGTTGTTACTTCACCTTGTAAAATGGGGATAATAAATAGCACGGGGTTGTCATAAGGATCAAATGAGATAATGTTTGTGAAGCTCTTTGCCAACCTAAATATAGCTATTGAAATGCTAATTATTATTATTATTCATTTTACAGTTGGGGATACTGACACTCTGAGTTGGGAGTTGGCTTGCTCAGTGACAGCTCTATAGTCCTTACCTAATAGGGGCCCTTGGTCTTAAAGGCAGGTATAGGCACCTTGGGTCAGATTTGAACAAATGACAGTAATGGATTTATCCAGCTTCCTGGGGGCCTGTGGGGTGGAGGTAGGATGTTTGATGGTAAAGGAAAAGGTGATAATCTCTGCTCTCTTCCCTTCTTCCCCAAGACCCCTCAGCTGGGGAGCAAAGTCTGAATTCTGTGGCATCCCTTTCCCCCTAGCCTCCTTGCTATTTGCCATATAATATCATTCTTTGTCTTTGCACAGGCTTCCCCCCTCCTACCAATTCCTTCAATACTCTATGGACTCACTTCTGCCTCTTAGAATCCCTAATTCCCTTTAAGACTTAGCTCTAATGCCATCATTTACAGGAGATCTTCCCCCTCCCCATCTCTTGTTAGTGCTTTCCTTTAATTTTAAATTATTTTGTACTTACTTACTATATGTTTGGAGTCAACTTACCTGTGACCATGTTGTCCTTCCTCCCTGCCCCTGCCCTGGTAGACTGTAGGATCCTTGAGGGCAGGAACCAGCTCTCTTCAAGATCTTTGTGTCTATCCCAGCGCCTGTCTTAAGCCTTTAATAAATTCTGGAGTGAATTCCCTCAAGTCCCTTGGCTTATGGGTGTTGGGATGGGGGTGAAGGTGGAGTTCACTGTGGTCCGATGGCTGATTTTAGTGATGGAAAAGCCCACACTTTGAGTGGGGATGTACTCCCGCTTCTCTTCAGGGTCCTGGCCCTGTCTTACTCCAGTGATGTTGAAAATAACTCCTTGCTTAGCCCTTTACATAACTTCCAGGGTGTATTTATGATCCTCATAACACCTCTGTAGAATAGAGTTATTAATCCATATTTGAGAGGTGAGGTAATGGGCAATTTCCTTTATTTCTCACTGCCTCCTGGGTTACATCATGAATTAAGCTTGGGATTAGAACCCATTTTTCTTGGCTTCCTGTTTAGGTACCACACTGCTTCCAGGGGACTCCTCACAGCAAGGGGGGTTTGTTCTCCTGTTCTTCAGAAGATCTTGGAAAGGTCACTCCTGCCATGTTCCTTGGTGGGGAGTTTGGGGAGGGGAGGTAAAGATTACCTTTCCCTCTCCTTGCTACCTGATCACGTGGGCCCTGACCTTCCTTTCTTGGCTTTGTTTAGGAGAGGATGTGGTAGCTGGGCAGTCCAGGGAGTGTGGAAGGGCTGGCAGGACTGAGGGTAGTCCAGAACAGGTAGTGTTGGCAGCAGAGTTTAGCCAAGATGGGTCAGGGGCCGTGGTACTTGTTCCTTAGCAGAGGAAGGAGGGGTGTAGTGGAAGGGAGTGACAGAGGAAGGGGGTGGGAGCAGTTGTGCATGGAATTGGTCATTAGACTTCAGATATTCATGGCATCTCCTGCATTAGTATCAGGTGCCAGCTCAGGAGGCTTACTGGAGACCTCTGTTTTTAAAAAGACCTAAATTTCTTAGGAGGAGGGGCTAATGATGAGGGGATGATGGTGAGGTATTCAAGGGTTGGTAAGAATATGTTAGGTCACCTCAAACTTCTAACCTATCCTACCCCGAACTATGTTGAAATATCCTCATCCTCTATCTGGCAAATATTAGCCAGTATTTATGGCAGACTTGTCTGAGATTATTTGCATGAAAGAAGCCCTGGACTGGGAGTCATGAGAACTGGTTCTAGCCACTAGCTCTGCCAATAACTCCATTTTTGACCTTGGGCATGGAATTTTGGGAGCTTAGAGGCAACTTTAATACAGTGATTTTTAAAGTATGGACAATGGACCCTAGCAGGAGTCCCCAAGACCCTTTCAGGGTGTCCATGAAGTCAAAGCTATTTTCCTAATGGTAAGATGTTTTATTTCTCATATAGTAAGTATCTCATATGGTAAATATGTAGATATAACCTATATAAACAAAAGCTCTTTGAATTCCTCAGTAATTTTTAAGAGCATGAAGGGGTCCTGAGACCTGAAAGTTTGAGAACCCCTATTTTAATACAAGCCCTCTCTGGGGAATTAATTTTTCTTTTAATTTTTTCCATCTGTTAATATTCTTTCCTTCTTGAAATTACCCTGTATTTCTTGGTATTTTGTTTTCTGGAGAGGCATGGTGGCTATTGTAGTGAACCTGAGGTCGGGAAGAACTTGGTCCAAAATCCACCTCTGACACTTAACAGCTGTGTGACCTCTCTAGGCTTCAGATTCCACATCTGTAAAATGGAGGCAATGAGACTTGTAGGACTTACTTCACAGGGTTGTTGTGAAAGCTGAAATGAGATCATGCACATAAAGTGATTAGTAAACTTTATGTAAATGTCAGTTATTATTATTTACTTCCTGCTCCTGTTCTATGGGTATACTCCAGGGCTCTCTCCTGGGCCCTCTTCTCTTCTGAGTGTTGTCTCTTGGTGATCCCATCAGCTCCCATGGTTTTAGCTCATAGATCTATGCAGATAACTCCCTGGTCTACCCATCCAGCCCTTATCTCTTTCCTGAGCTCCAGCCCTGCATCTCCTTTGATATGTCCCATAGGTATCTTAAACTCAACATGTTCTAAACAGAACCACGAAATTTTTTTCTCTCTCAAACCTACCCCTCCTCCTGACTTTCTCATTTCTGCAGAGGACAGCACAAATCTAGTCCCCCAAATACACAGTCCACAAAAAACAACACTCTTAACTCTTTATGCTTATTTAAATAACACTACCCCCCACC